ATAGTACGATTTTTTATTCATACATTCATGGTTTTATTACGTATGGCAAAATATATCAATATCTGGTTTTCCACGACGTGGCAGTCACAAGGGCGCAGTAATGTGGCGCAGTAATTCACTTCGTTGTCTTCAAACATTTGACAATTACAAAATCAATATCATCTCTACTTAAGCTTGAAATGGAATATGCCGAAAATGATCTGATTAACGCTATTTTTTGTTTCGCTAACTTCTCATCCCCTTTAACAATAGCAGTGAAAAGCCTATAGATTTTTCGGGCTCTCTCCGTTCTCTTCCTTAAGGCACCATCAGTCACTTCAATAGGTATTTGTTTCCTAACCTCATCAAAAAGTAGAGCATTCGCTCCTTCCTTGCCATTATCTTTTTTTAAATCCTTATATCGGTTATATAAAATTCCTCCAAAGTCGAAATGACTACTAATGACTTCTCTATTAGTAACTTGATATTTAGATTCGGATTGATCGATCTTTTTAAAAAAATATAAAAAATCGTTAGCATTTCCTTTGGTGGAAGCAGTCATAGCATGACTAGAGGCGCTCTCCTCCATAGCTTCGTCAGTTTGTAGGCTCAAAGAGCCATTGCTTTCCAATAAAAAATCGCTGGATAACAATTCATCAATAAGCTTTTTCAGTTTCGACGATTCTTCTCTATTAACAGGCTTCTTGATCTTTTTATTAGAGGAACTTGCCGTAGGGGTAGCTTCGTTAACACGCTTTTGCGGTAGGTTGGATGGAATTTCAACTCGATGTCCTGTTCCTTCATTTCCATCCACGCATCTTGATCATGAGACGAAGTTTTTTGAGAAGAACTAAATCCAACATTACGGGTAAATTCATCAGCCAGATTCGAAGTACCACTTATTTCAGAAGATACAGAGACCCGTCTTTGAGTTTCATCAATATTCTCGACGCTTTTGCCACATTTAGGAAAGGGACATGTATTTGGTACGGTGAGTAGAAGTTTTTTCTTGATACAGAGTCTATGAAAGATATGTCTGATCTAAATTTAAAAAGTAGATATGATGATAAATAGCAAACATCATAATGGAAGTTTGGTTACCAGTGAAAACTGCTTCAGAATTTCTAGTTTCCAATCTTGGACGTATAAAAAATAATAAAGGTAGGATTTTAAGGGCAAATCCCTGCAAAAGAAAAGGTTATATACGGATAAATTTAAAAATTAATGGCACTTATACAAGTAGAGCTGTCCATATTTTAGTTGCACAAGCCTTTATTTCTAATCCAGAAAATAAGCCCTATGTTAATCATATTAATGGCATCAAATACGATAATCGGGTTATTAACTTGGAATGGGTAACTCCTAAAGAGAACGCTGAACGTAAAATATTCCCAAATCCTGGTCATAGTAGCTCCAGGAAAATTGTGCAAAAGACTCTGGACGGAAATGTTATTCGGATTTGGGATTCTATAGCCCTTGCAAGCTCTACACTTAAGATTTCAGGGCCTCATATCTCTCAATGTTGCAGCAAAAAGCTGAATACTACTGGAGGGTGGCGTTGGATGTATTATGAAGATCACATAGAAAAAGATCCAGATGAAGAATGGAGAGAAGTAAGGCTTAATTCCCGAAAATTCAAAGTTTCATCTTTAGGGAGGGTTCAGTTACCCAACGGTTTAATCTCAAGAGGATCTCTAGATGCAGGATATCTTAGAGTCGCTCGAGAAAAATATCGTGTTCATCGCCTGGTTGCATTAGCATTTTGCCCTAAAGAAGAAGGTAAAGAATATGTGAATCATATTGACGGGGATTCAACAAACAATAAAGCATCTAATCTTGAATGGTGTTCACCAAAAGAAAACTCTCAGCATGCTGTACGTCTCGGGCTTCGTAACTTCAAGGATAGTAATAAATACCAACGTCCTATCAGGCAGATTTTTGACGACGGTTCTACGTGAGAATTTCCATCCATAGTTAAAGCACAACGTGCAACTGGAATTAACCACTCAAACATTGGTGGAGTATGTCGAGGAATCCGAGTTCACGCTGGTGGTTATCGTTGGCAATACATGAATACCAGTGACATGACATGATAAATATTGGACATACATATATTTTTTAGGTCATGATTTCGAGGTAAAATTCGTCATGCTATACCTACCAATTGTAAAAAATAGTGGTCGAAATTGTATAGTTTTTAGGTTGTTAAAAATGGTTCGTGACAAGATCACTTATAACGATACTTTGATAATTAAGTCACGAGACTGAACTTTCGGTCATGATCGTGCGTATATCAGATGAGAAATTCCCACGGATCTATCGTTAAAAAAATAAAAACTGCTTCTCCCGTAAAAAATGGATGCGCCTACTCCTACTTATACTTTTGCTAATGGTGTCCCTACTGATCCTCAAGTTCTGAAAGTCTATAACGGTTTGAGTAGGGTCCAAAGAGCCATGTACGATACAGCCGACGACCAGGGGAAAACTATTCTCTTGGCTGCAGTTGCGGATGAAAAGAAAAAACCGGTATGTTTGCTTAGATGGTGTTCATTTACCATTAAGCTTTTCACTGAGACTTATTATAAATGTTAGTGGTGGCGTCGCTTAATTGATTTATTTCAATAGCGACACTATCTTAATCTTGTTTATGCTGTGATCAATTTACTTTCCGTCATCGGTTTTAATATCTGGAGTCACTTTCAAAGACGAGGCGGTGATCAAGATTTTATTAAATGTTGGAATAATTATAAGCCTGAACAAGATGTTATCCTTTACCAATTATGCATTCTCTTTGGAACCCAAATTGTGATCATATTCATAACAGCAATAACAGAAGGATTGTTTAATAAGTTTCCAGATGCGTTATTTATCATTGTTCAATAATTACTGGGATAGTGTTGGCGGTAGCGGGAGGCCTAATTTGGACGTTGGCAAATACCGCGATTTCTTTTATAGGAGTTGGGATATTGTTTGCGGAGAGTGCTATGTATTATTTTAGTATGTACCCTCGATAATAATAATGGTGAAGCTAGATCTTGAAGGGTGCCATTGCCTATCTACGGCACTGTAACCGTACACGGATTTATTCTGTGAAATGACACTCACATGCCTTGAGAGGATAGAGCGATGTTCATGCACATAGTCGATTACCGTTATTTTTTTTGGCTCATAGTAGTGGATTTTACTCTCTCTTGTCGTCTCCATCTATTTAACGGTCTGAATTATTTTCTGATTACTATCTTCAAGTATTAACTAATCTTTATAAAACAATTTTTAATAGGTGATCAGTATGTACGCATGCATGTTCTACTAATTAAAGTTTGTGTAAAATTAAGGAATAAATAAATAAATATCATGAGATTAAAATCTATTCATTTTCTTTTTCTGTTATTGATGTTTCCATATATTTAATAATTATTCTTGGCTCAAAGTATTCTTCTTTACTGTGATAAGACTTCAGTTGAGTACTATTAAAAGTTTTATGTGATAGTTAGTCATATTGATTTCTCAATTTGTAAGCTCCATTGCCAAGAGTTTCATGAATATAGAATCATTCTGTATTCTATTGTGACTGAAATTTATTCCCATGAGTAACATGTTATTTCATATTATATACTAGAACTTTATCACCAATCTCAAATTGTGTGATTCTTTGTAATTTTGAGTCATATTATTACCTTTTTGGTATGAGTTCTGAGATAAGGATAAGTATTAAATCTAATATTATAAAAGCACGTGATAAAAGTGATCACGTGCTTAAAGCAATATTTGGAAGAATCTTTAAGAGGTTTATTGACAAGAATATATCTACTATTATTTTAAAGTTAATCTAAAGATAGGTAATGATAGTATTCTTGTTGTGACTAGCTAGAATATAGTCCAATTTCA